AAATTAAAAAAAAAAATGTAATGTTTACAATATAAATCACCTTCCATCGGAATGTTTTTTTTACTTAAAACTCCCTTAACTTTTTTAAATATTAACTAATCAAAATAATATTCCTTTATATTGAAACCTTAGGTAATTTCCTTTCATTTGATATCATTTTTTTTTGAAAATCTAACACTTATTCTTCTCACAGGGGGGATTTAAAATAGCAACTTTTTTAAAAAATTTGAAACTTGTAAAACTTGTAAAACTAAAAAAACTTGTAAAAAATTTTTACAAAAACTAACTTTTTCAACTTAATTTTTGAAAATGTTCCGGATATACTGCGTCCTTTAAACATAAATCAAATTAAAGCTTATTTTATGTACTATAAAATGAAAAAAAAAAATTTGTCCCGACACTTTATCTTCTGCATGTAAACGGTTGCCGTAGTTAAAAAAACACTATTTTTGTGTTAAAATTTTCGATTTTCGATTTTTAATTTTCAACTTAAAAATGCTATAACTTTTCGAAAAATGCATGTATCAGCACAATTTTTTTTTTTCTAAATACATTATAAGTACATCTTCCATTTGACATACTTTTTATTAAAATTAGACAATTTCCCCTTATATAGGGGGGGTTCAAACTTTGAAACATTGTATAAAAAATAGAACTTTTTCAACTGAACTTTTGAAAATGTTCCGGAAATACTGCGTCCTTTAAACATATATCAAATTAAAGCTTATTTTATGTACTACTAAATGAAAAAAAAAAATTTATCCCGACGACCTATCTTCTATGCGCAAAAGGCTACCGCATTCAAAAATATGCTATTTTTTTTATTAAAATTCTGGGTTTTGTATTTTATTTTATTTTAAAATATCTTATTAGGGGAATAAACTGACTTTCATGAATATTATATAATATCATTGACATAGAATAAAGTTCATAAGACATATGAAATTATACTTATTAAAAATTTTTACTTTTTTAAAGTCGAAAAAGTAATTTTTAAATTTGAATTTGTTTAAATAGCAAATTTTATCATTTAACAAAAAGCAACGAACAGTTGCCGAATGGGTAACAACTTGAGCTTTCAAGCCTAGGGTACGAGGTTTCAAATCCGTCTGTGACTTCTAAAATTTTGCATTATTTTTTTGAGTTAAAATAGAATTTCCAAACATTTGATATTTATCTCATTTAGATTCAATAATTTCAATAAATATAAAGGATCTTATCACTATAGTCTCCCCTCGTGAGAAGAAATTGATATTCATGTTAATATTATTTTACTATGTGGTTCTTTTTCTGGCTACGATTTATTTTGCCAACCCTCACTAGACCTACTTTTTTCAACGATACGTCAAATGATTCATTTAAGTTTATGATATTTAAGTTAATGATTAGTTTAAGTTATTACTCTTAAAAATCAAAAAAATATTCCTTATTCAAATAAAAAGTAGCTTAACTAGATTTGTCCATACAAACAATTAAAATCATTAATTTTTAATATTCTTAAATTATTTATTGTCGAATTAAATTTGATATGATAAAAGTATTCAACTACAAAAGTAAATAATTTTACTTTATAATTTATTAATTTTTTANAAGAGTAAATAATTTTACTTTGTAATTTATTAAATTTTTAACTCTATTTATGTGTGCTACTAACCAGTCTATAATATTCCAATTGTTTTGTAATATGTTACTATATAAATCATAAATTTTAAAAAAAAATGATTTTTAGTTTCACCTGAAGTTAACGATGGATTTTTACAGTTATAATTATATTTTTGATAATACGCTCAATTGAGTAAATATTTTTAACTACTTTGGTTTGATTGGTTCATTTAATTAAAGTAAATTATTAAAATTAATTAAGTTCTGAATATTTCAATTGCAGAATTTTTTTAAACACCAAAAGTTATTAGGATATGATTACTATTCTTTCTATTTCAGTTATCTATTACGA